TGGTAGCTGTATCAATGCTCTTTGCGATCCCCGAAAGAAGAATCACGTCCCATATCGAAATTCGAAATTGACGAGATTGTTAAAGTTTTCTCTTGGTGGAAATTGCAAGACTGTTATGATTGTATGTGTCAGTCCTTCCAGTGCGCATTTCGACGAAACTCAAAATACCTTGAGATATGCCAACCGAGCCAAGAACATTCAAACCAAGGTCACCAGAAACGTTTTCAATGTTAATCGTCATGTCAAGGATTTCTTGGTCAAGATTGATGAGCAGATGGCTATGATCAATGAGTTGAAGGCTCAGCAGAAAGATGCTGAAGCTATTGCATTTGTAAAATTCAGGAAGCAAGCAGAAAAGAGAGATGCCATCACACGTGAAGGTGTAGCGCGTATTCGTGCCGCCTTTGAAAACTCAGTAAACGATCGACAAGAAAAGGTCAACCAGATGAAGAAACTTCGACAAATCGAACGTCGCATCAGTGTGCTATCATCCTGGATTGCATCATTCGACAACGTTTGTGATTCTCGGGATGATGAAGAAATGCCTCCTAATTTGGCATCTATGCGCAAGACAGCTCAAGGTATTCTTCTCGAATTGGAAAACAGCCGTCAACATTATCATCAACGAATACACAAATTAAACTGGGAACGGGCCATCGATTCTGCTTTACAAAACAGCGTTCGTCAACTTGTTGAGATTGATGGACGTGAGGATGGCAACGATATCGCTTGCTTAACTAGAGAAACAGAACTCTTGAAGGCTAATGCTGCACGAGATTCATTCCAATATGTCTTAGAGCAAGAAAAGGGTGTCGATGCGGGTGTTATGCAAGTGCTGCTCTCTGCCCAATTCGAGATCATGTCTTCGCTTAATGACGTTATTGGTATGACTGAAGAAAATGCTGTGCAACATGGCAAGAAGACCATCTCAAAACTTTTAGAAACATGTTCTACAGCAGCCGCTTCAATAGTAAAGCCAGATGGGTCTATGAAGATTACGGAAAAATTCGCACCTACCAAACGAGGTACACCGAAACGCAACAAGCAGATCAATCTCTCTTTTGATGGGGAAGCACAATCACCAATTAAAATGCCCTCTCTAACAGTGGCACCACAAATTCCATCTCCGATGAAATCCTCACCGAGGCGTCGTAAGATAGTAGTAGGTAAGAAAGGACTTTCTTTCACACCGAAGAAGACCTCCAAGCGAAGTGTCAGATGGCGAGACGATGACGATTCCGGAGCCTTGGCCGAGTTCGAGAAAACACCCCAGAAGTTTGAATCCACTCCGGATGTATCGTTGGTCGAAGAGACTATTACCCTACCACCCTTACCATCATACCTAGGCGAGGCTTCCACGGACCCCCTGGGCTCATCACCTGTTCCCACGGCTCCACTAACATCCCTTGATATTAAGCCCAAGAACAATCGATTCCAAGCAGGATTCCTGTCCAAAAAGCCCCACTCGGCTTCGCCGCCTCCTCCAACAATTACCAATCTCTCCCCAACGTCTTCGGATACAGAACATTCTCCGTTGAGAATCCTCAAGAACGGTTTTAGTCCAAATCGATCCCCCCTTCGCGATGTAGATGAAGCCGCCGAGACGGCTGGAAATAATTCGGGAGACGAGACGGAGAATTATAAGGTGGGAAAATTGGATGGCGTTAAGATTGGTATGGCGCTTAAGAGACATGGTAGTCTTTCAAGGTCGGGACATAATCATACGAATTCCGAGGGTAATCAAAGAATCAGAAGAGCAAGAAGCCCGACAGCGGCTCAGCTTGCAACAAGCCCGAATAGCGAAAATCAAATGTTTACGGCGAGTCATGCGAGACGGATGGTGAAGAGTGACAAGGGGGATGCATTGAGCAGTGTATTGAGTCCGAGAACGGCACCGGTAATTAAACATGGCCATAGTAGACGAGCAACGGATTCGGGCAGATCGGTGTCTGGTGGTCATGGGCATGGTCGTGAGGGTAGTGGAAGTTTGAGAGTTAATGCTGTTAATGGAGCTGGTGGTGGTAGTATGAACAAGGAGGCGAGAGGAAGAGAAAGTGTCATGAGTGCTATGGGGAAGGGTGGTTGGAGATGAGAGAATGAGGATTCGATGAATCATATTGAGGTTAATGTGATGGTGCAATTTTCCTCTTGACAGTGCATCGGGGTTGGGTGGCGTTGGTTTGGTTTGGATTTAGAGGTCTAGTTGACTTCCTTCGTTTACTCAAAATCGTACATAGTCCAAAGACGCAAGGGATTGCGCGCGATTCCATCTTTGCATTGCTAGGGCGTTTGGTGTTGAGATATGAGGGATTGAAATGAATATTTTCTTTGTATTGATCAGCTACAGAGTTTTGTAATTGGAATCGGGGTTGAGGACTGGTTGGATTGAGATGAGATGAGGTTCAGGGGAAAGGAGTGGTGATGGTGAGGATGCGGATTGGAGATCGGAGTAGAGATTGTAGAGATTAACAATGTGAATATGATTATGAAATTTATGCTTTTGGGGGGTTGGTGATGTAGTGTCGTGTGGTGTGCTGTGATTTCTGTTTCTTGTTTGATATGAGGTGATGTGATATTTTTTGTGTTTTGTGAATGTTTAAGTGTGGTGTGATTGATATGTGCGAGTTTGTATTGCAGGAGATAGGGGATTTCATTTGCTTGGATTGGAGACTTGAAGACTTGAGACTTACACTTGGGTTGTGATTGTGATTATGAGTGCAGGGTATATAGGAATTTTGATTTGTTGTTCTATTTTTTGTGGGTGAGGGGGGGGGGATTTTTATAGAATGATAGTAAAAAAGGGGGGTTAAAGGAGAGGGAGGGAGTGAAGAGAGGAGAGGGATAGGTATAAGGTATCGGGAGATAGGAGGAGGTAGAGGGAGAGGGAGAGGGAGAGGGAGAGGGAGAGGGAGAGGGAGAGGGAGAGGGAGAGGGAGATTGGCATAGTGGAAAGTTGAAGTGTAAAGATTGGTGGAGTGTGAAAGGTGAAGATTGAAGTATAAGATATAAAAAGTAAAGGTTGAAATATAGAAATTGAAATATAAAGATTAAAGATTGAAATATAAAAAATCAAAAATAAAGATAAAGAGGTAAAATTAAAGGTGTAATGATAAGATGTAAGTAATGGAGTGTAAAAATTGAAGTGTGAAGGTTGAAGTGTTAAGATTGAAATGTAAAGGGTAAAGGGTGAGATATAAGTGATAGAGTTTGAAGATTAAAGTGTGAATGATGGTAGTAAAGCGATGTGAGATGTATGAGAGAGAAGGTACTGTAGTGGTAGTGGTAGTAACATAGGAAACTTGGATTGAAATGGGAATAGGGAGAGAAAAGGAATAAACGAAGAAAATGGAAAGTGTACTACCCATATTATGTTTCAATTTCTTATCAACAAAAAAGACGGAAATAAAATTGAGCATTTGGAATGTATGTATGTAGTTATGTATGTATGTATGTATGTAGTGTATGTATTATGTATGTATGTATTTGTATGTATGTATGTATGTATGTATGTATGTATGTATGTATGTATATATGTAAGACTTACCCGACAAAATAATTAAGGTGATTCGAATAGTAGATGGATTTATTCTATTTTAGATAGTGATGAGGGAGGGACAAAATTGATGAGAAGGAAAAAAAATGATTGGGTCGTAAGATGTTGAGAGGGTTGAAGAGGGTTGAGAGGGTTGAGAGGGTTGAGAGGGTTGAGAGGGTTAGAGGGTTGAGAGGGTGAGAGGGTTTGAGAGGGTTGAGAGGGGATGGTGTTTGGGAATGGAGTGTATGAGTAGGCAGTAGTACCTAGGTAGTGAGAGGGTTTTAGGATGTGGTATGGCTTTGTTGGTGATTTGGGATCAGTGAGTAGCTGGTATTTGTTAACGAGTCATTTTTCTTGATTCAAAATTTAATCATATACTCGAGTCATCAAGTGTCACACAATCGAAGTGGTGCTAGCAAAAGGGAAAAGGAGATATGTGGAATGCGACCTCTTGCCCCCGAGGAAGTTTCCGCACAGCTCCACTGCCGAGCTTCAGGCTCCGTATGCATTATACACGCAATAGATTTGAGAGCGAAGGGTTCGAAAAATGAGGGATGGTGGATGGAGAAGAGGAAAGAGGGAAGAGAGAGTGGTGTTACATCACGTGATTGTATGCACGCACAGAGATTCGGGGGCTTGGCTGGTGGACCCCTGAATAAGCGAGGGGGAGACAGGGAGGGGAGGGGGTATGGAGAAATGCGCCAGGAAAGAGATTGATGGGTGGGTTTGGAAGGGAAGTTTGAAGATTGTAGGGTGTGTGTGAAGTTTTGGAGGATGAGATGAATGGACTACATGATGGATGGATGGATGGATGGATGGGATGATACTTTAGACTAAGTAAACTAGAAGACAAGATACTTCGAACCAGAAAACATACGATGATAAAGTCACATAACAAACAGACAAATTTGAACTAATAGTAATTATTTTTTAAAACTCGACGCTAACTAAATATGTTCCTTGAAGATTCAATCACAAGAGTTACGAGTAACTCGTAGAAAGCAATCTAAAGGATGACCCTCAATTCAAAAATATGTATCCAGCCAATGAGATAACAGTAAAACAATCTTGGGTTGTAAGGAAAATGTAGAAAAAAGAGTGTGTGAAGGGAAGTGATAGTGGGAATTATTTGGATATGAAAATGGAAGGAAAGATTTGTAAGGAAATAATGAAAATGCCCGGAAAATCTAGTATCTCTCTATCATATTAAATCCACCCATAATTGCAGCTAGAAAAAGAAAGAAAGAAAGAAAGAACCAAGTAAAGTCTGCTACCAAGTACTGACCCCAAAGAATACAGTTGATGTGATGGGAATTCATAAACACAGCTCTGGAATACTAGTGATTCGGGACTTTGATCCAGTGTTTTTGTCTTGGCGTTTAATCCTGGAAGTAAACAAAAATGTCGCTTTTTTTGAGAATGCAGTATTTGGGCAGACCTATCAACCAGCATAGCCATACTTTCTTTATATCTCGTGGCTGTCATAACATCTTGGTTGAGGTACATTCAAGTACTTTTCGCAATGATATTCTAGATCACAATAAGTTTCTCTAGTATTGCGGCCACATTGGCGCCTTGAAGGATATGTTACTCCCTGAGAACTCTCCACGACTTGGTAACATGTTCCTCTCTTGCGAGTCTTTATGGACATTCCTCTATACCATTTGGGATTTTCTTGGTCGTTGTGGGTTTCTATATCACAGTAAAAATACCTTTTACCTGGCACAGTACTGTTTTGACAGCGATGTGAATGACGATTTCGATAAGTGCACTTCAGACCCTCTCCAAGTGATACGGCAAATAGAAGATGGGCACGAAACTCTTCAGGTCCCTCAGATACAGAATTGCTTGCGGGATATTGATCCAGATATTGTCTTTGAATTTGAATCTTGTTCAGTTCCCAGTTTCGTCTTTCAGATTTCCATCGTTCATCTTTTATTACACCCTGTGCTACTTCCGGTAAAGGAATAGAACTCGGCCCTGCACCAGGACCCAAAGGAGCGTGGCTTGTAGATGGTATTTGATCATAACTTCCTCTAATATCGGAGGTTGTAACTATATTCGGACCCTCGATGCTTGTCGAACGCATCTGTGACTGGATTCAGATACGGTTGGCATGGGGTTAAATACTAATGAGCTTTCACCACCAGCGGGAGTAGTGCTATGATGTGATATGCTGCAACCATCTTTCTCCCTTGAATATCCGCTTTCCCATTGTCTAATCCTTCGCGGATGCCCGGGATCTTGGGAATTTCCTACAGGAGTTCGTCGTGGATATGCACTCGTCAGAGATGATGATTGCCAAATTTCATTCGGAGGCGTATTAGCACTGTGAAGATCCCCTTCATCACAATTTCTGTTTGCATACTGAGTTTGCTGCCCATCAACAGATTGCGTGAATGGTTGTTCAACCACTTGTGTCGCATGGGCACGAGGAGCGATTTCGGTCTCGGGTATTGTGAAACCTCTGACATCGGGTGATTGTGGATGATATGAAGTTTGATATGATTCAAATTCCACCGGGTCTCCTTGTTGCCCGTATCTTGAAGTTTGAAAGCCAGGTGAGCGAGGTCCAGTTAAATCGGGCGAAACTGTATGATATTGAGGTTGTGGAGGTTTATATGACTCATACTCTACAGGATAATTTCTTTGTCCATAAGCTGGAGTTTGAAGACTCGGAGACCAATCTAGGCCTTCAGATTTGCCAATTGCTGCTGTATCTGGTGGAACCGGGACAAACTCAGGTGTCCGTTGTCCGATTGAAGGAGTTTTCGAGGCGCGCCTTTTTCCCTTATTTCTCGATGCTCCATCATTGTATGATTGAGTTTCGGTTTCGGTTCTCCGATCTGGACGCTTTTGATCTGTAGAAGGTTGTGGCCTGACACTTGGCGATGATCTATTTGATGAATGCTCCTGTGCTTTGGAAGAAGACGCTATATTGCCAACTGTTTCCCGGCCCCGAATTTTATTGTAACAAGCATCGCAAATCTTGCCCGTTGAACCATCATGTTTTCCATCTCCCGGACACTGTTTACCATCAAGACGTTTTGCAGAACATCTCTTACGTGTATTGGTGCTCTCCTTTCCTTTGTGAGAAGACATGTCAGAAGGACGAATATGTTGGCACCACTGACAAAATAGATACTCGAGTGATCTAAAATAGAGAGTGAGTAGGTCACAATAGTTTATGGAAGATACACGTCTTCACGTAACTTACGATTCGGAAACGACGGGATTGCTGATGGTAGGGTATTATCGTGAGTAGGACTCAAATGTCGTATGAAAAAGAAGCGTAGAGTGTTCAGCCGAGCCAAGTGAAGATCTTATCGAAAAGTCCGCAGCAATTCCGAGGTAGTCTTCATTGAGTTTGTAGAAGTACCTGTACCACGACGCAGTAGCGAGACAAGAATGCAGAGTGAAGAGCTCTTCTTGGTAGTTTTGATTGTTCTGTAATGTGCTCGTAAATTGTGCAAAGTGTTGCTTTTTTGAAATGGTGTTGTGAAGAAAAAAGAAAAGCGATGCAGAGGGGGAGACCGGGACTATTTGAGCTCATCGAGAGGTGGCAAATCGGGTAGTATGAGTGCGATCATTGCGTCAATAATGATTTAATTATGAATGAATTACACCAAAAGGGACAATTTGCCGTCATTTCTGGGGGGAAGTGCGTCAGTGCAGGTGTATTGAAGTATGAATATGATGAATGAACAGGATCTTGGGAATCCGAACACTCATAACTTGATTCAATGGTATGAGGTGAAGAAAGATAATAGTAATGACTGCAAGAACACCCAAATTTCTGACTGAACGGAATCAAAGAAATGTGCAATGACTAAAATGACAAATAATTACAACAAATTTGAAGTTCAATCATTTATGCGATTCGAATATCTAAGTCTCATGATCTTCACTTAATGAATATTCAGTCAATCTTGTTACCAAGAACTCACAAGTTCTTCTACAATCAGGAATCATAAGAGTAATGTAGATATGAATCAGTAAAATCGATATTCAATTGAAATGGAGTCATACTATCTTTGAACAATCTCATGAACATGAATGTGAAGGTATCATTTCCCTGTTTGGAATCTGTGACAGTAGGATTCGGCAATGCGAATCATTGATGAGACTTCACCAAAAGAACAATAATAGTAGGGTTATGACCATTCCATTTTAATTTGAAGGGAAGAGTGATCTTGAGTGTCATTGACGAAGAAGGATATTGATGAAGGTACTTGGGGAGTCCGCAAAGTTGGGATTTGAATAAAAGGAAGGCTACTCGAAGTATGAATTCGCCAGGTATGACCTTCACCACGGTAGCCCACATCGTGTGGGATTTTGAAGTCGCGAGAATGGTATAATGACTCGATACACTAGAGCCAGCATGAATCTTGAGAGTACAAGCGCTGCGCAGTTGATGTAGAACGTTCTACTATAACTCACATAATTGCAGATGTGACCATTTCGTGGGTTATGGCTCATTCAATCAATGCGCTTTGATAAATCGATGTAGTCATAGTCTGCTCGAAGAACGGTAATATTCACAAGATATGTATGAGTTATCACACTCCATTTCTCTTTATGATTCCGACAGTTGGACCACGCATGCAAATTTTGCTGCCATTCTGTTGCTTAAATAGCATGGGACTACACGCTTCCTCCTTTTCACTTTCAACATACAATGATATCAAAGACAGCAATAATTCGAAAAACTTCTTCAAGACCCCAAAAGCCTAAGATCCCGGAGAGAAGTTCCATTTTAACTTTGCCTTTACTCAAAACTGGAGAAGATCAATACCATTATCTCTTGATTTTATCGTGGTAAGATTATTAGCTCTTGAACTCACATTATATGGTCTTCAGTGCTTATTGATTTTATAGCAACATGTCTGATCGTTCCAATGGTCAGGAGATGAGACGGCGTCAGGAGTTTGATCGTTGGCTGGTGGAGGACATAGTGCCATATGTGATAAGAGATCTGCCAGGACAAGTTAATGAAATGCAGGCATATTCACCATCCAATGATCTAGGAAGTCAGCTCTACCAAAGAAATAGTCCTCCAATGATATCGACTACTACAGAAAGTCCTCCTGCAGATATCTGGACAGGAGGTAACGATTATTCGACAGAAGCTGGATATTCCCAAGATGGACGGTTTGTGCCCAGGGAACAATACCTTCCCTTCGATTCAGATCTAGTGTATGCTTCTCCATTTACTGGATACCAAGCTCAAACTCCTTCCGTCGATGTATACCAAGTACAAACTCCTTCAGTCGCTGGACACCAAGCTCAAACTCCTCCAACGTATGATTCTGAGCCATCGGGACGTGTAGAGGAAGAACACGGAGTCACATATGCACAATCGCATTCGAGTGGTCGTGAATTGGAAGAGGGATGGCACCAATATCCGTCAGGAGTATGGGAGTGGCTAGGACAAGGCGCTCCACCCGAATACCAAGAGACCCAACCGCAGTCCGCCCGTAATACACAGGTGTCAGGAGCCGGACAAAATTTGAATCAAGAAGCATACGCAAGAGTTAGTGCACCAAGCAGCCAACGTTACTCAAGTCCTTCTGTTCAGCTGGTAACAACTCCGAGCCAGTTTCTTGATGCAATCAATTACTCGCCGCGATCATGGGAGAACATGACAAATGTGTCCGACAGCCAATCTGAAGATCAAAATCACTCAGTGGCTGGAGATGGTCAGAGAGTGTCCGGTAACCACAGAGGTAACCAGAGGAATCCACGAAGAGCCCATCAAAGGAGGCCGCAACACACGGTGTAAAGCACGACGCAGCTGTATCGCTTCTTGGGATGAAGGGATGAGATTGACGACTTTCCTAATCGTCATGAATCTATGATGAAGTCAAACGCATGAGGGGATGTTGAGATTCCAAAACTGGGATCAAATTAACTCCCCTCTATTTCATTACACCTTTCTTCAATTTTTTATTTCGTTGTATTTTTTCTTGGGAATGTATGTAAGCAGTGACGGAAAGACTGATTAATGATGGAGCTTATCTTGAATTCTGTGATTGATGGGCTCCAAGTTTCGGAGGCTTGGTTCTTGTTTGGGTTGTTCGTTGTCGTTGAGGTTGGTGGGTGTCGATGGAGGGATCAGACTTTCCCCTTCTCACCCAGGAGTCTTGACGAAGGGCTTAATATTTGGAAGGCAGCTTGCTTGATCTATTTTTGAATGTAGGGACTAGTTAATAAATGCATTGGACTTTTTATATGCGCCTCCTCAATGAGTTCGTGAGCTGTCGAGGTATTGAGAAGATACTAAATTCGGAATGCAAAGTAATCGAAGCAATGAGGTGTGACTGAGAAACAATGTGTGCGAGGTATGAGTATTACCTAGCCAATTACACATGACTCTGGATTATTAGGACAGTGAATACATACTTTCTCAGTGAAACATCACACCATTCTCAACTTTGCATATCCATAACCTACAGTGAAGCATCACAAGCCATAGATTTAAGTAAAGTCAAAAGCCATTTCGAGCTGCATAATGATGATCTTCAATAGAATAACAAGATTTTGAAAGCTTTGAAGTTGGTCGTTCTAAGAGATAGGAAAAGTCAGGGAGAGAAGAGAAATGTAAAATCATGATACTTTGACCCCGGATCTGAGTTAGTAGCCATTTCTTGAGCTGCCAAAGAACATCGATAATGGTCTGAATTCCTTTCTCGAAGGACTCTTAAATTTTGGCGATTTACTCCAGTAGTTGTCTCACATTCCGTCAGTCATTTGTCTTCCAATACTCATATTGACCAAGTGGTGTTCATTATTAGGAGTCATGATTTGAGCCGTTGAATCATTCCTCTGATTTTTTGCATCCATGGGAAATTTCTGCTAGAACTAGTCATGAATATTTCAAGTAATGTCTTCTTCTCCTTTGACTCCATCCACACTTTAACACTCATAATGCGACAATTGTAAGCCTACAGGTATGATTTGGACAGTCATTCACGAACTTTGGCAATTGGAAACACTCACTCCGTTAGAACGAGTGACTCGCACAATTTTGACATATACCCTTCTTGATTTCCCAAAGTTTTCCTGTTCTTGCTTCCTGCTATACTCTCTTTTTCAGAAAATCCATCCATCCATCAATCCTAAGAAATTTCAGCATTTAACCCAACATCATAGATATCAACCCACTGATTATGTCTTTAGGCCGTTATCATCTCGGAAGCAGTGGCCGTCATGGCCAACTCGATGAATATGGTCAATCTCAACAGCAGAATTATGGCGGAGATCAGTCTCGCGAGTCTAACTTTAGAAGTGGAGACATCCAAGGTCAATACAAAATCTCCCAGGTGTTGAATCGAGCTGGGCTCCAACGCAAAAATAAATAGCTCTGACATTTTCTTAGGAACATACAACCATGGCCCAGATAGGAATGCCATGAATCTCCCTCCTTTGAACCCGACTGATAGCATTGCTCCATCACCACATCCGACAAACAACTACCGTCTACCCCCAATCAGCTCGGTCCTGAGACCACCTGCTCCATATACATATCATTCAGCGCAGGCCTCTAGTACTACGATCCTAAGAACGCCAGAGAATTTCCACGTTCCTGCAGCTCGCTTGTATTCTAATACGACTAGTCAGTCACAGCACTATCTAGCTTCCGAATTAAGAAGTCGTGAGGCTCCTTACCATCCGAGTGATACAGGACGCTCTCAAGAATCTGGCAGTCAAAAGTACCCCCTAAATACACATCAACTACACGCTTTGAAACACGAAGGCAACAAGGGCACGGATTCCATGCAGCAATTTCAGGCTGTTATTCCGACTTCAATGCAGAGATCACTTCCTCCTTTGGGTAGGCCAGGAAGAGATATAGCTACTCCATCGTCTAGACGGGCAAGAAAAGATAAGTCTCGGAGAAGACAAGAGCCGAGAGAAAGATCGAAATCTTACAGCTCTGATGAACTCGCATTTATGCCGCCCCAACAGCCATCACAAGGCTATTGCGAAAGCCTTCGCTATCACGCAACTGTTAAAAGCCCACAGGTCGTTGAAGACAACAGTCGTGCGACAGAAGAGATGCCAGCGGATTCTGACATGGAGTGTCTTCTGCCGACATGTAAGACGCGGATAAGTAAGAATGCCTCTTTTGGGGCATGTGGATCACATCGTGATCAATTATCAACTTGGGACTTCTCGTATTGCGAGGCAGAGATGGGACGTGCAAGTAAAGGAGAGGTCTTTTTTCCTAATGGACAATGTCGGAACAAAAAGCCGTCTGGTAAAAACCGCTGGTGCGCGTATCATGGATTTAAAGCTTATCGTTGGAGAGACGAATTTATGGCTTCAGACTGTATGAAAGATGGGAAGTGGTTTTAAGGGTCGCCACACGAGTACTGCTCATTTTCCTCCTGAGTATGGCTCATCGGAGGCGGGACCCTCGGTGCGGAGGGGACGAACAAAGCGAAGATAAGCCAATCCTGCTTTTTCATATCAAGTTTTCATATCTTTTTTCATTTTCTCTGGAAATCTGGCTGTATTTTGGAGTGTAATTATTCGCAGTGCTACTGAAAGCGCAGCGGAAATCGCACAGCAGCACCTTCGATTTGGGCGGGGGCTATTTTGAGTTGGATGTTTTTTTGTTATTCGATGCTTTTGGGATCAAACAGGTGGTTTTGATCGGTAGATTAGATATTGCTGATACATGATCGCGCGCAATTTGTATTTATTCTCTACTGATATAATCTAATAACTGATTCTTTCTTCTGGATGACTCTCTGAATAAATGCTGTGCTGGATTTGATGTGCAATATTACGGAGATGTCAGTGTGAATGGTGTCTTGGATTGAGATTGATGAGCCAAGGATTTGTTCCTTGATGTTTTGTTTTATATTATTGGGCATGGTGTAGATTCATTGAAGATTGATAGAAGTTTCACCATTCGACTGTAGAAGTTCTCACATGACAGAAAGTTAATCACAAAACGTTCTCACAAAGGTGTAAAGGTAAACTTGTAGATTCAGGACTCGCGCATGCACAAACGATTAAGATCCCACTATTTCATAGTTCTCGGTACGTTGTAATGGCATAGGCATTCTTGGTAACAATCGCCCGTCATGGTAAAGCTTGCCTGTACCCAGAAAGATGAACAACATAAAGACTAACGACGTATAGTAGTAGTCTGATTTACAAAGCGACATTACGTAGAAGAAAGTCACGAAACAGGAAAAGGTGAGGATAATCTGGATGAATTTGAGTGTTAGTCTTCATATGCTTGTCATACCGCACACGGAAGATGAACGTACCATTTGTGCACTGAGAAGAGCTAACTTGAATCTGTGTTCCAGCTGACGGTTCATAGCCTTGACTTGAATGGAGAGATCAAGACAACGAGTTCTATCTTGCATTTCATGCTTGAACCCCACTTCATTGATATTGAGGTCGTGCTGCTTCTGCATGACTCTGATTTGCTCAGTTGCATCTCTGTATTTGTAAAGTCAGAGATATTGCCACGCAGCGAACAGGAGACAAAGACGACAACTTACAGTTTCTTTCCATGACTGAGTGACTGGTTCTCATGTGTGCCCGATCTCCATTTGAGAAGCTCTTTTCTACCGATCCATTGTTCCTGAACCTCAAATCAGCAAAGGAGCTATGCTGAGTAAGATCTCACACTGAATCGAAAAATTCCCCGCCCAGCATCTCGCAAAGTCTTCCCGGAAATTAATCTGGCGCTCGCCATGCGACAGTGCGACGGGAAGTCGTGAATCCCCAATGGTACCTCCATCCCCGGCGACCCGAAAGCCACACAGACCAGGAAATTAGCCACCACCTCGACCCATTACAGATCTGGTCTCCACACCAGGATAGACTTTTGCACACACAACATGATAGCTGAAAACACACAATCCGCCAAGGAGAAGCTTCCCCTGGCACCGTGTACGCAGGTTTAAGGTTCCGAGGAACCTATAGAAATATTGCCTATGTTCTCGGTGTATTGCTGCGAATTCGATTGGTGACTGTGATTCCACCTCACTTGAAACCATGTGTGATTGAGATAGGCCGGCAGACGGGAAGGATCGAGACAGTGTGTGAGGATAGAATCTTACCGGTGGTATATCAGGATCAATTCGATCATCACAATGCGAATCCCGTAAATATACATATTAGCTGTGGTCCAAGAAGCGTTGAATGATTTAGAAATGGCGAATGGAAATTGGAAGGTTGAATTACTTGTCTTTGAAATGTGGAAGACATTTCAACCAGCGACTTGAATGGAAGAAATTAAATGGAAGAAATATAGATATAAAAAGCTTCAAACTTCGCAAAGTTTGTGATTTTAAGAAAGATGGAGAGAACTGAACCGTACCGACAAGAAGGAACACTTAAATAGGAAAAATTGAAAATGTGCGTGATCTTAGCGAGGTTCAAATTTTCAAGACTGCGCCATCTTTGAGTGAATATCAACAAGTTAAATGAGCATGCGATCTCGTGATCTTGTATTTTTGTTGGGGCTAGGCAGTGTTGATTTGTCTTCCTCGAAAGTGAATATTGACTCGACGAATCTTCTGCTTGAGGAATTAATATTTTGGGAGACAGCCCAGAATCTTGCAGCTGCGTGCCACGCTAATAAGAGAGCTGGACTGCTTATGTAGAGACTCCGATTTCCTCTGATTCTTCATCTTGGTATGAGCCTTCGATCAGGATGTTCTGCAGTGTCTAAGACTAAGGTTGGTTTTGGTACGCCTCGAAGAGGGCTACTATCTACATCAAAGATCTAGGAATAATTTGTACTCAAGGGACAAAGCTATCAATCAAAACTATAGCAATAAAATACCTCGGCTTTGGATCCTTCTTTTTCACTTTGAGATGGTAGATTACAGGTGAATACTGAGTGTACGATGAAGAACGCGTTTGAGCGGCCAATAACTGGACTGTATCCAGTTCATAAGTGAACGATATGCCCTCTTTTAGTACCTAGGTAGCTTTTCTCATACTGACATATCACCGATGTTTGACCTCTTCTTCAGAGCCCCATAATATCACCACTTCAAAGAAGCTGAATTGTAATTCACGATATGGATTCGTTTCGAGCCTAGAAAGATAGCTTGTTGGAAAAGCTTGCTTAATCGTTCAACATCGTATGGACGAGCTTTTCATTGACACGCAATCAGACGTAGTCTTCAATTTACCCCTCGTTCAGTTGAATGATTCTCAGATACCTAGACGCAAGGTCGAGAGAAAAGAGCTCTTAATCGTTTCCGTCGGAAAGCAACAACCAGCATCAGAGAGTAGTACATGAAGACCGATATCAACCACTCATACTTCCACCTCTGCCACTTCTCGGCCATCTCAGTCATCAGTCCAAAGCAATGCACAAGTTTCAAAATCTTTCCAAAGCCACTCATTGAGTATTTCACCTAACGCAAAATACTCGTTGCATGAAAATCCAGAAGAGAATCAAACAATCCAGAACCCGCGATCCAATCTCAAGGCTCGCGGGTCTTTTTGTGATACCCGACCCTCCCACATGCTAGATATGGGCACAAACGATCGAAGCAGATGAATTATTTGCTAATTGGCCATGGTTACATTATAAGATCTTGATTTTCTAGAATTTTGAAATCTCTTCTCAACCACCTTTTCAGATCTATATAAATTCCTGTACATACTAGGTACCTATCACTTGAAATGAATTGATTTGAAGATCTGAAGTCGATTTGCATGCATTCTCCTTTCGAAAAATTCATAAGGTTAGTTGGAATGTATCTAGTTTATCGTCTGATATAGACAAGCGCATTATACCCGATTTCGGTTATTCAAACGAACATGGATATCGCACTCCTAGTAATAAACTGTTTGGTGTACCAATTGTAATGTGCAGAAGATCGAGTGCCCACAACAAGGATTCTAGAATGTCTCTTAACTACCTACCTTACATTCATCCATTAGATTGCCTGAGATCCGGAATTCTTAATTACTAGCAACACTCGATGAGATCTTACAATCATCTCAAGAGAAAAAAACGATGCAACTCAAAAACACATTACTTTACGGTACTGGAAATGCGTTGTGCATGATCTCAGCTAAGCACTACTCTACCCTCTCATATCAAAGATCTAAAGTTCCTCGATCGTTGATTACATCGATGGAAAGCCCTCGAAACAGAAGACGATGTAAAGTACCTATTCAGATCTTGACACATTGATCTTCAATGACTCTACAGGAACTCCTGTCTGATGGATATTCGTGATGCCTTATTAATTCTGAATTATCTTCCACATCATTTCTCAGCAAAGAACTGAGATTTTAAAAGAATCGGCGCAAAAGTTTTATAAAGAATTCTTTCTGATCATGATCGTATTCAGTGATACATCCACAACTGCTTACAAAACAAATGGACTACTTCAATTCAATCCAAACATCATCAGTATAAATTATAGCTGTGATAACCATCATGTTTTGGCTACGATACGATACGAACCACCAAGACCGTATATTTACGACAACCCAAACACCCGAGTTTCAATCTTTGTCTTTCGGGACTCTCGCTAACTTGATGTAAATTTTGAAAGCAAAAATTCTGGAAATATGTCGTGAATGATTGCAGTACTACATACCTACTGTCACGAATTGACCGTCTGGAGTCTCTATCTCCCGTACATGGTCGTAAATTACGGCTCTGAGACTTCGCTTACCTCACATCAAGAGTCTTAACCGTACCCTCAACCGCTCCTCGCCGACAAATGCGTATACAACCACTCAACCACCCCAACTTCCAAATAATTCTCCATCTCAAAATCCTCATCGACCTTTACCAAGACAACTCATCTCAACTCATCACACGAACTATCTCCAAAAACCCCTACCATTCAAAAACATGTCCTCCCCAGCAATCTCCCGCACCACCATCGCTCTTCAAAAACACCGCTTATCATCCCATAGGCTGTAGCGCATACATGGCACTCCTATACAAAACACCTCTCCTGCTGCATAAAACACACTCCACAATGCCTTATGCTCATTGGACCCATCATTCTCTATCTCTTTATGCTAGCTCTTCATCAAACCTATGTGGGATATAACGAGGTGATGCAGAACTTCAAGAGCGATGCGGATATGGATATAGGAGATTCGGAACAGAGATACACTCAGGAAACTAATCACACGGCCGGGAAATCGGGGAAATCAGGGAAATCAAGAGAAAGAATCATCGTGGTGGAGGGAAGGCTAAGAAGATGAAGAGCAAGCGAGAGGATACGTGCACTGGCAGCTCGAATTCCGGAGAGAATTAAGTGCACATTGATGGTTGATTGTGGTGATGGAGAATCATCTCTCGGACGACTGGGATGGAGATAGATCCTATGGTGTAGAGCTTAAGCGACAGAAAAGATAGCTGTTTAGTTATATATGACTGGACCAGGTTTTGAGACGGGGTGATGATGGGAAAGAAATCGAATTGAGATGATATTTTGGTAATCTTATATAACTTCCAATAATCTACTTCCTATCAACTCAATTAACATTCTCTATAACATCACATCACATCCATTAATTTCTTACTCAATCGTCAAGATCTCATTGTTCACCTCCATGATATGATGCCTCGATTAAATGCCTCGATTGAATACTTAATGCTAGGTAGCTGAATTTGATTCCCCCAAACCTTGCACGAAACAAGCGATATTGTTTTGTGGCGGGAAATTTGAATTTCATCTGATGCCAGAGTGGCATCTATTATCAACTGTTTAAGTTACTGTTCAGCCATATTACATGGACGATCACCATTTAAGCTTCTCTTACTGTCTAGTTTGGAAATTTGAGATCTGAATGGGTGGTTATTTTATCAATGAAAAAGATACCTATTTTTACCCTGCCTTGCTATCACCCGCCTTTTCCATCCATTCTACTCATTAACATATCATAATTTACTCTCTTGAGGCTCCAACCGTTTCCCATGGATGTCGTATACATTTTCCGTGATTCATTTCCATTTTCATTTTCATTTCCGCCCCCAGGCCTTCCACCGAAACCAGATTCCACATTCACGAAGATCCCCAGATCGTGAGTATCCCTCACCCCTCAAATCTCCTTCTCTTTAATAAACCTTCTCTCAAGTAAAACTCGTTCCTCCTGTTCCCTGTCCCAAATTACTAACCGCAAGTCCATTACTCAATCTTCTTCCTCCTCCAGGTCCCACACTTCCTCCTATCATTCCAATCGGACTACTCATATTTTCTTCCATTCTATTAATCTTACTCACGCTCGATTGTCTTCGCTTACTTATAGCTTTAGAAAGTGGTGCACCATCGACAACATCTAGTGCTTCTTCGTTAGAATCTCTTCTAATCCTCTCATCATCACCTAGAACTGCGGTTTCCTCATCAGGTGGGAGGAGTGGTTCTTCTTCGCTGTCATCATCGCTTGTACCACTCTTGCTAAATCCTTCCATTTCTTCTAAATACCAAATTGGAATTGCACCAATCGCTGCGATTGTTCCAAGCAAGAAGTAAGGAGTAATAATATAACCTTCTTTCAATCCCCAAGTGAAAGCAGCTCCAGACATGGCTGGTCCAATTGCTCTTCCAACTGCAGAAATAGATACTGCAAAGCCGTTCAATGTACCCAAGATACGAAGACTAACTGCCGAATTTGTGAGGAGAATAACACAGCAAGGAAAAGCGAAGATAACCGCAAAAGATTTAACAATCAAGATTGCGAAAATAATGATTTGTTGCCAAGTTGATGATTCGATGAGTGCTGTGTATGGAGTAACGAAACAAATAATGGGGAAAGTTACAGCACAAACTTTGAAGCAATTCAATACACCGAATTTACGAGCTGCGGGTGGGAAAATGACGAATTGAATGAAGCCACCCACGACACCATAGAGGGTAAAAATTGTACCGATTCTGCCCGAATGAAGACCGAAACCACCGGAGAATCTGAATGGGAGTTGAGTATTTGATGGATCGTGGATTTGACGAGGATGATGCATGAAAACTGAAAGGATTTGATCATAAGAGACGGAATGAAGGGCGAGAAATGTATAGGCAATGAGATTAATGACTGATTGACGTGTGAATACCTCTCGAAGACTTGGGCGGGTAACTGGAGCTTTCGATTTGGAAGATTCAAAGTTATCACCAAAAGATTCAGCGGTATCCGAACCAGAAGATGTAGGTCTGAGAAGTGATGCTGATGATTCATCATAGGCTGGATGCCCAGGAGTGTGGTGTCTGGGTCGAGGTTTACAACAGAGCACTTTAGAAGAAGTAACTAATTTCTTTCCTACTTCTACTCCCCAGTCTTTCTTATTACGTTTGGATTCTAGAGTTTCCTGGCATTCGTTAGTGGGAATGTGAGGAATTGATTGTTGAAGCATACCCTGAGGAAGAAAAATCCAGTCGTGATTCCAATCATGAAAAGGAAACTGGCGATAATATTTGGTAATGCAAAAGGAAAATTGAGGAAAAATCTATTATTTCCGAAAAGTCCTGGAAAGTTTTGTGCTGGTCTAGCAAAGAATCCTCCGAAAGATGGACCAAATATAGAACCAAGACTCCATACTAATGGCATGATGGAAAATGCTCTTGGTTGTAACTCTTTTTCAGGAACCATTTCGGCTACCATTGTTCGGATAATTCCAACTATTTTTTATTAGCTCATGCGAATTCTAATTCGAGGAGAAGGACAAACCATTTCCGTTAAATGCTCCTTGCAGTGCTCTAGCAATGATAGCCATAGGTAAAGTTACTGACATGCCCCATATGATATTTAATATCATTGTACATGTCAAGCCCACCAAGATTGTAGGTTTACGACCAAATGTATCGGAAGCCCTTCCCCACATGATAGCTGTCATGCACTGAGCTAATGAGAAAACAGCAGATGCTATACCTGCCCATTTTGCTACATCTTTTTGTTCCACTCCAAAACTTTCAATCATTTCAGGCTAGTCATGGGATTAGTCACATGATTTTTTGGTGGATTTCCTCGAAACTCACTAGATATGGAAAGACTGAAGTCAAGGCGACTGGTTCTGCGAATCTACATATTGCTAATCAAATTAGTATGAGTATTTGACCTATGAATGAATTTTTGAATCGAAAATCGCCAATTGAGCTGTCGACTGAACGGGCTACACTATAATGGTAGTTGTATAGACGGAATGATACATCCGACTGAGCTTGGTCTGAAGAATCACAGTCGAACAGAAATTCCATCACATCCTCAAGATCTATTCCAATCACATTCGCAGGGAGGAGAAACAGTGACCATGCAGAGAGAGATATTCAATTGATTCTTCTCCAGAAGGATGTAACTAGGTAAAGGATATGCATGATCTTCGTCAAGAGATGAAGTTTTGGGTGACAATGTTACATTGTTTGGCGGGGTATTTTGCATTTGCATTAACCGGCCTCCCGAGATCAACCATGACCATGATTTTCATCATTGCAACGAAGAAACTATCAACGATTTGAAGATCTGCTGGACATATGTAAACACGACGAGACAAATTGGAAACTCACCAAGAATTGTAAGCTGGGCCACGGGCAATTTTGCTGGACCTGGACTCTTTCTCTTGGCCATGTCGTTGGCGGTAAAGATTACTTTCTCAGCCTCCTCGGATCTACGGTCTTTTTTCCGCCGCAAGCATAGAAACCACAAGATATAAGATCGTGGAATGATTTTTGATTGAGTGATATTAGATTCGAACTGTACAAGAGCGTAGATGGCTAAGAAAACGACCGTTTCAATACATGATGTTGAGAATATCAGAAGAGAGCAGCAAGAGCAAGCTGAAGAGACTACCTAATAGGTATATAAGTGATGATTTGTCAGAGAAGTCATGCTTTGAGCAAAGAAAAGAGTCAAATCAGGTAGAAGTGGTGGGTGGGGCAGATGATATATCAATGCTGCAGTTCCTCGTAATGCCGCTTTTTCCGATTTCCGATTAGTCTGAGTGCGATATCACCGTCTTTATGGATTTAATACGGTTTTAATACGATCTACCATGTTGAAATAACCCAATACGGACTAATAGATTGAAATGGAGAAAATGTATGGGTGTTTATTGGTCGATTGAGCAAATGATGAAGAATTGATTCATTTGATTGGAGAAGAAGGTCCCCAGGGATTCTACGCCGATTATCGGTTCAATCACGTGCTTATGCTTTCTTTCTCTTTGCCTCCATGATTGTTTGTCCCACATGTGTTGGGACGATAGATTGATGGTGTTACTGTCGCACCACCTGGGCACGCAGATGTAATTGGTTTGTCAGCCTTGTTAACGCCATATGGCGTCCATCACTTGAATCAGACTGATCCATGCAAATATGGATATACCTACTAAGGTATGTGAATGATGGAGAGAGAGTATATTTACCGTATTTTCACTTGAAACACTTGAATAAAAGTGTATTTCTTTATTATTTCTCTATTATTTCTTTATTGTTTCTTAGTCATCTTCATTGTTATTGGAAAGAGAAGTATGAAATATTTATATACAACTTCACTCCAAACAATCTCGAATCCCACTCTTTGTGTACTAGATACCTCGTACCTCACATGCACTCCAATAATTACCTAGATATCACATGGACCCCCGGCCTCGTGAATCATCTCATTCCTTTCTCTCTCCCCTCCCCTCCGATACCATCTGATAGGTTGATCTTCGGACGTACGTTTCTCCGCTTTTTATGTCTTATCAGTTCCGACTCCAGTCAAAGCAATCGTCGTCGTTATCGTACATATCAGGAAGCTCTTCTTTAGCCTATGGGAAGTGAATACCATCTGGGTACTAGCTCATGAATACCACCACCCTCTCCGCATAACTTTTACTCCGTGGATGATATAATTGCCCGAGAACTGGGTGCACCTTCAAATAACGCAATAGGTACTTACTTTCTCGTCACAACCACCTTCACATCTGAGAAATGTTTTGATTGATGATTTCTTTCCTCACTCTTTACACCATCACTCTCACCTCTCACTAACCGTCATCATGGGTAGAATCCTAGATGAAAAGAAGATGGAGAATAATGAACGTACTCCATTGATCGCCACGGTCATCGTTGGCCAACCTCGACAAAGATATCAACATAATACCATTCGTCGATTCTTTACCATCGCAGCAACTTGTTGTTTGATTGTCGCCGTCGTCCTCTTCCTCCTCCCTTTGTCTTTCTTTCCTCGACACCACAGACATTGGCATCACGATAAACATCACGGAGAATCGTCTGCCATCACTTACGAAGAACTTCAACAAATATTGCTCGATACACCAAAGGCCGAAAAGGCAAGAGAATGGAGTAAATATTATACATCCGGTCCACATGTAGCTGGTACAAATTTAAGTCAGGTCACTTGGACTCAAGAAAGATGGCAGGAATTTGGCATTGATTCGGAAGTCATCGCATATGATGTTTATCTCAATTATCCGCGTGGTCATCGACTTGCCTTGTACGAAAAGACAATGAATAAGAATTCCAAGGTCGAAGAATTAAAGATCAAATTCGAAGCTAGCTTGGAAGAAGATATTCTGGAAGAGGACGAGACTACTGGTTTGGATACCAGAATCCCAACCTTCCACGGATACTCTGCATACGGAAATGTCACCGCACCATACGTCTACGTCAATTATGGTACATACGCAGATTTTGAGGATCTTGTAAAACTCAATGTTAGTCTCGAAGGCAAGATTGCTATTGCAAGATATGGTGGCATCTTCCGTGGACTCAAAATTAAACGCGCACAAGAATTGGGAATGGTTGGAACTATTCTTTTCAGCGATCCCGGTGATGATGGGTCAAATACAGAGGAAAATGGAGCTATTGCATACCCAAATGGACCAGCCAGAAATCCAAGTAGTGTTCAAAGAGGAAGTGCTCAATTCCTTAGTATTGCACCTGGAGATCCGTAAGTCATCATTCCCTCAAAATTATGTAACAAAGGACTAATCATCTATAGAACCACTATTGGATATCCTTCGAAACCTGGAGTTCCACGTCAACCTGTCGATGGAAAAATCCCTTCAATTCCTTCCCTTCCAATCTCTTACGTCGATGCTATACCTATCCTCAAATCTCTCAATGGTATCGGACCCGCACCAAAAGATTTAAATAAATGGTGGGATCGAAACCTTGGCTTGGCGTACAAAGGAGTAGAGTACAACATTGGTCCCTCACCAGATAATCTCGTTCTCAACCTTGTCAATGATGTTGAATACGTCACAACGCCTATCTGGAATTTGATTGGTGTTATTAATGGAACATTGTCAGATGAAGTTATTGTCATCGGAAATCATCATGATGCATGGATTGTTGGTGGTGCTGGTGATCCAAATAGTGGTTCTGCAGCTCTCAATGAAGTTGTTCGAAGTTTTGGTGTTGCTGTTTCGAAAGGATGGAAACCATTACGTACCGTTGTATTTGCCAGTTGGGATGGTGAAGAATATGGTTTAGTTGGTTCAACAGAATGGGTTGAAGAATATCTACCTTGGCTCAACAATGCTAATGTTGCCTACATCAATTGTGATGTTGGTACTAGTGGACCTAAATTTTCGGCATCGGCAAGTCCTCTTCACAATAAAGCTTTGGGTGAAATCTTGAGCTTAGTTCAATCACCCAATCAAACAATTCCAGGACAAACTGTTGGCGACCTTTGGAATGGGCTCATTAGTACCATGGGAAGTGGTAGTGACTTTACCGCTTTTCAAGATTATGCTGGTATTCCATCGATTGATCTAGGATTTGGACCAGATGTTAATCATGAAGGTGGTGAAAAGGCTGTCTTTCATTATCATTCTAATTATGATTCATTCTATTGGATGGATACCTATGGAGATCCAGGATTCCATTACCATGAAGCAATGTCCAAAATTTGGGCTCTTTACACGGCTAAAATGGCAGAAACACCGGTTATTTCCTTCAATGCTACTGATTATGCCAATGCATTACAGGGTTATATCAGCAAAACCGAAGCCAAATTGGACTCCATCATGATTGGATCTTCTACTGAAGAACAAGATGAAGAAGCTCGTTTCCGTCCTTCCAGTATCGCAACCAAGGGTGACATCAACACCCTTAAACTTTCCTTCAAAGGTCTTCACAATCGTGCTACCGCATTGAAAGATGCAGCAATTCGTCATGATTCTACCGCCGCCGTTCTCGCTGAACAAGCAGGTCAAGATATTCCATGGTGGAAAATTGTATCCAAGGTCAAACTTTACAATCAAATTCGAACTGTCAATGAAAAATACAAGTATCTCGAGAGAAAATTCTTATACCAAGAAGGTTTAGATGGTAGATCATGGTTTAAACATGTTGTATTTGCACCAGGATTGTGGACTGGTTATGCGGGTGCAGTTTTCCCAGGTTTGGTAGAAAGTATTGATTCGGAGGATTACGAGAATGCGGAGAAATGGATTGGAATTATTGGAGAGTGTTTGGAGAATGCAGCGGAGTGGTTGGCTTGAGATGAGAATTTTGGATCAAGTGGGTTGGAATAGATACAGCGACTTGATTAGAGAGTTGATGATAATGATGGGTGGGTAAAGATACATGGATACATACATACACGATGGTTCAGTGGAGGATATACGAAATAGTATAGAGACCAGACGTAGATAGATATACACAGAGAGGTAGAGTCGAGAAGTTGCTTTGTTTCATTCTTTTCATTTCTTTTCTATACCCCCGTTTTTGGGTAATAGATATTGAATGAATGGAAAAAGTAGACGGACTAGGCTAGCTAGATAGGTAGTCATGAATAAATGAAAACTTTATCTGAAATGAATCTTTCTTCCATTCTTTTTTCCTCATTCGTTCATTCATTTATTTGTTTAAATGTAATGCTTATAATGCTCGTGATGGTGATGATGATTAGAAAATCTAAGCATATTACATTATTCTACGTTATTTTACCTACCTAGTAAGTACTCAGTAGTTAGTAATACTGTATTTAAACCGCAGATTTTAAACCGAAGATGAGGGGTACTTGGAACTTTGAAAGATGGGAAGGAGAAGGAGAAGGAGGAGGAGAAGGAGAGATTAGTTTGGTATGTATGTATTTATTGAGTGAGTGAGTGAGTGAGTGAGTGAGTGAGGTTTTGATTGGTTTAAATTTGGTTGGTTTGGATTTGGTTGGTTACTATTGTTGTTGTTGTTGATGATGGGATGAGGATGGGATCGGGAATAGGGGATGGGGATCGGGGATAGAATAGAGAATGGGAATGGGAATGGGAATGGGAATGGGGTTTGGGATTTGAGAGATGGTTTGGTGGTTTTGAGTATGTGTGTTGGTGTTGGTGTTGGTATTAAAAGGTAGGTGTGATACGACGTGATGCGATGCGATGTGGCGGTATGGTCATTGGGCTTTGGGCTGCTGGATTTTGGGCTGCTAGAATTTAGAGGTATGGGGGAGGTGTGTTGCACAACTATGGTGGTGTGGTGTTGTGGTGTAGTGGATGGAAAGTGGTGTGTCGCACAAGATAAAGATTAGGAGGTAGATGGTAGATGGCGGATGAGTGGGGATGAGATGGGTTATGACACTGCATATAGCCAGCTAGTCAGGTACCTAGATATATATGTAGCTAGGTATTGAGAGGTATTGAGAGGTGATACGATACAAACATTTACTAGGTAGGTATTTAGGTATTTAGATAAGTATGATTTGAGAGTTTTTTTGGCGGGCGGGGGAGGGAGGAGAAAGGAAGGAGGGGAAGGGGAAGAGGAGTGGGGGGGGAAGGGGGGTAAGGAGGGTTTGATTTGATTTGGGTTGGGTTGGGCTGAGTGGATGGAAAAGGGGACAGAAAGAGGATACATAAAGGGAAAAGGGATGGAGAGAGGATGAATGGAGCGATGGAGGGATGGAGGGATAAAGTAGAAAGAATGGAGACATGGAGAGATGGAGGAATAAAGTAAAGAGAGAATGGGATTTGGAATAGGATTTGGATTGAGATTTTAAATGGGATGGGGTAAGATTCAGAGATTGAGAGATGAAGTTAGACATATAAGTGTGTAGGTAGGGTGATGGATAGAGAGATGAATAGAGAGATGAATAAAGAAATGGATAGGCAGAATCGAGAATGAGTGAGTAGATATATACAGAGCTACCAAATGAGGTGGAATTGTTGGGTTTGATATAGTTTACATATACATATAGTATTTTTAAAAAAATAATGAATTATTAAAGATTGAAAATAATTGTATAGTGATTAAGAAGTAATTATCTCGCGGGCTAGAGATACAGATATTGGAAATAGATACAGAGATGTAGGAATTATACTTTCTTGTATTGAATGACCCTAAAAAGCAAAATCTTCGAGCGCAGCGAGCTATGGGGGTTTAGGGGCTTGCCCCCATGGATTGAATATAATAACTACGTCATCTCGAATCATATTGGTAATGTATAATTTTGCGAATCGGATTATATACTTCTAATGGAATGTAAATGTAGTGGGATTGGATGGGTATGAATGGAGATAGATATGGATGTGATATTTCTGAAGCCTTTCTTTCCTCTTCGCTTGTTCTTGTCGTTGTGTTGCTGGTTCACGAAATACAGAAATGGGCGGAGGAACTTGTATGGAGATGCGTGTGTGTGTGGTATATTCACAAGAGATGGATAAATTAGCTTGGGTTGAAAATGATCTTGAATTCTGTGTTGAATTATTTTTTGGCTATTGGGTTTGGAGAATGGAATATTGGAAATATGATATGTTTGGGCTGGGTGGAAATGGAGGTGATGGATTTGGATTTTTTGGAGTGGTAGATGTATGGATATCTAGAAGAAAATTGGCGTGTTTTGATAGATCAAAATGTTGTTTGATATTGTATAGGTTAGTTGGTGAGAAAGATGATGGTGAAATTATAAGAAAAAGGTATGAGAAAAAGGAGGGGTTGGAAGTATATAAAGTTGAGGTTTGGATTCAGGTCATCATTTATGAGTGTTCAACGTCGAGAAAACAATCTTGGGTTTTGTTTTATTTTTGATGTGTCAGTGAAAAGGAGTTCGGCTCTTGACCAATAGATGTGGAGGAAACTTGACACAGAGAATATTTTCGCTTCGAAGAGACATGCTGTTAAGAGTGGAAAACTAACAAAATTTACAAAAAACATCAATTTCTATCATCCACATAATCACAAACAAAAAGCTTTTTTAAATAGTATCTTTCTTTCATATCAATAGATGGACCAGCCAATCTTTCATCTAATACACCTAAGGGTTATCCACAAAGGCCCTCCTAATTAACAATCCCATTCCATCACAATCATCCATAACCCAGAATATATGCATCCATACTCCCATATTCAATGATTCATTTCCCAAGATCCCAAATCCCCAAAATAACAACTCTCCAAGCCTTAACTCCCATCCTGCAGCCTCCAATTTCTCGTTCGTTTCAACTTCACCTTCAATTCCCATCATAAATATACATACACTCCAACAAATCCGTCTGGATAGCTCTCAACGTAAGGAGTAATTGCTTGTACTTTCTATTATTGTAAAAACATTAGTAATCATTCTACCAAATCTATCCCAGATCCCCATCCCCCTCAAAAAAGCAACAACAAACTCACCCACGAATTCTCGATCTCCCATAAAAATGACATCGCATAACCAAAGTTTTCAAACGCAATGCTTCCTCAATTCGCGCAACGACATCGTCGAGAGCAGTGCGCAGAATACCCAAGATAGAGTCGTTACCAAGAGCATTGCGGTAGTGGACTACGAGCTCGTAGAGTTCGCGGTAGTGGGATTCGAAGTCGATGAAGATTTCGGGGGGGACGACGTTGTGGGAGGGTGTGTAGCGGGGCATTTTGTTGTTTTTTTTGGTTTTGGGGAGAGGAGGTGAGGTGATGGAGGATGGGTGTGGGTATGGGTGTGATGGTTTGGGAGGGGATTTCTGCACGCGTATGTGTGGTTGATGGCGATAGCGACGGCGATGGCGATTGCTAGCTTTCCGTAGAATTGTTGATGCGTGGATATTGCAAGTGAGAGCTCTATGCTGGATGACTTAATTTAAATTGACAGATTGTAAATCAAATAAGAATTAATCGCAAAGCCGACAGATATGGAAGATGAAGAAATGATGCGCTTTTGATTCCCAAAAGATTTTGTAAGTTTCGTCAAATGGAAAATACCATAGCAAAAATGCTAGACGAACGAGGAGTGGTAGTCTAGAATGATGAGACGTCTGGATTGAATTGAATATTAAGGGTGGCGTGAGATTCAATTGAATTGAATTGTGCGGGGTGAGCGTATGCGAAGTTTTGTTTGTGAGAGGATTTTTAGACGAATCGCGGTTGGGGATTTGGGAATTTGTACGGAGATTCAGAGATTTGGGATTGTGGAGATGGAAGAATTTAGATGAGTTGAGGGGTTTCGATGTATGTGGAAAGATGGATAAAGTTTGTAACTCCACAGGATAGTTTGTGTGTAAAAAGTTGAGCAACTCAGGTTAAAGTCATATTGATGCGACCTTCGGCAGGCAACGAGGTGAATCGAAGTACCGAAAATATCGCCTTTTTCACTAGATGACCTCTTATAATGCTGAGTAAACTTATAAACTATGGAATCCAGTATCTAGAGAAGTGGACGGAGAACATATTGTGCATCGATGAGGATTATACGTTTCAATGAGTGAATCTGGAATTTTGTATAGGTAAATTCCCTTACTTGGAAGATCTTTCTCTAGAGCTAGAGTTGGTCTTCGAAGTATGGTGGTATCAGGGAATTGAAGACCACTGGTATAATATCTAGTCACAATCTATGTACCAAGATCTTTATTACGGATAAGATCTATTGATTATTGAATTCAGATGAAAGAAGACTTGAGGAAAAGAGGAAGAAGACGAAGAGATTGAGGAAGGCTGGACGACAAAGAAGGATCTAGCCGAGTCGAAGAGGCCCAAATATCAAATAAGTGGCACTGGAAAGGTTGTTTAAGATCATTCTCGAAAGCTCGAAGGACTAACACAGTATCTGGATGCGTGTAAGACTATCCTATCACTAATTTTCAGAATAGAAAGAAACCTCGAAGAAGCCACGGCATCCAAGTCCACAGACCTGTATTTTTTTTGTTTACCCCGGCCGTATAGATCTTCGGTATGTATACCGCTACGATGAGAGTTGAAGCACTTGTATGTGTCAAACAGCAAGATAGCTGTCAATCTTACCAGTCCAAGATTGCTAGCCGTATCTTTGCTTTCCTTTCAACATAAACCGTACCGTTGTCAAATGGTACGATATATAAGAATGGAAAGGCCACCCAAGCTGTTCAGATTTTCCTTAATCATATAACATCCAACACACTCCCACATCATCTGAAAATTAAAACCAAAGATACTGATTTTGATATCTAGCCAATCAACCATAACAACAAAAGTAATTCATCACACACAAAATTGAGCCATCTACTTGATAGAGTAAATTGGTAAAAATGCCTAATTTAGAGGAATCCTATGCTTCTATCATCCCCCCAGAAACAACGGAATTAGCGTCGGGACTCTACACAATCACAAATACACCATGGATTGCTCAAAACGCCCCATCAGATCCCATAGACTCTTCAAAGTAAGTTGTTTTAAACTTATCACCTTAACCAAACTGACGAACTCTAGGATCGATTACGATGATCTAACCAGCGTTACCATTGGACCTTCCACTAGTCCCATCCGTGTCACCTGGCCCCTTGCAGTCTTCTGCATGAACTCTCTCTTTTTTCGAAGCATCTTCATGCCAGAAACACCCACAGTACCAGATACCACACCTTCTTACATTCGTGCTCTCCGCCTAGAACACCAACGCACAAATAATATCCCATTTCCATGCACCACACCTGCCGAAACCGACGCTTTTTCCATCTTCGTATCATGGAATACAACCAACGAGTTAAAGTCTTCAACAAAGTTTGTTGGAATCACTAGTGTTAACGTTAACGAGCGCATTCGGCAGTACATTAAGCTTTGGGATCAGATGATTGAATGTTACAAGCTCTCACAATTCCTGATCGCGCCTAAATTCGCCAACAAGATTATCGACACAATGATCTGCGCTTTGAGAGAAGAATGCGGATGGCAAACTCATCGAAGACAACTAGAAGATGAAGACGATGAGAATATTCTCGCGACTCCTGGAGCCGCAGAATATGACGCATTAATTGATCGCCTATCTCAACTCACAACCGAAGGAAACGATAACTTATTCAATCAAACACAATCGTCAACCACCCCGCCAATAGTAGATCAGAACGACACTCCGAATCGAAAAACCAAACTCCTTCCCCCGGATGCGAGAAATATTCTAGGTGGATCACCTGCGCAAATCTCCCATTTGTATGCATCTACAAACCCTGACTCTCAGCTACGAAAAATGCTCGTCCAGATGATCATCAACTATTCTGTCCGCTATCCCAAATACTATGCTCAGCCTTCTAGCTTCAGTACTCTAATCACCGGCGCGGAGTCCGGTACACAGGAAGAGCTTTCGGTCCCGATGGAATTTATGATTGATTTATTGAGTGCTTATGCAAAGCTAGGAAAAGAGGCGAGAGATAGAGGATGGAAAGAGCGGGGTTCGGGATGTGTATATCATGAGCATAAGGATCATGTTGAGGAGATGAATTGTCAGGTTCAGAGTGCGAGGGAGAGGAGTAATGCAGAGGGAGGTGGGGATGTGACGATTTCATCGGCGGTGGGATATTCGATGGGTTGAGGAGGTTGGGATAGCTTTGGGGGTGGTGTGATGGTTGCGGTTGTTGGAGAGTATGGATGAAGTTGGTAAGGTGGAGAAGTCTTGAGAGTCTGTGAGATAGTTACACTTCGTGCAGTCTTCATTACTCAATGAAAATCTACTGGATGTCTCTGAATTCATTTCTGATTCCAAACACTTGTTCGAAAGTTTTGAATGTAATATCCCATTGTGATCCAAAGAACTATAACTGGCGCTTATCAAAAGGACTTTTAGCAGCAGTTGATACCTTTCAAAAGCTCATAAAAGCATCATACTTGATCTCCTTGTTGCCAAGAAGTTACTATCCTCTCAAAAAGAACGAAATTCCTTTTTCGCCCCTTATCATACTTGTAATTGAAAAAGCTTTATTCCTTCCAACAAAGTCTACACAAGCATTAGTGAAGAGAAAAATGTAAAATATAGTTTCATCTCACTGAATCTAATACAAAGATAATGAATGCTCTTCACCACGAAGACCGCTAAACAATTCATAGTGATGGTGATAATTTTTCCGGTCGTGGAGTCACCTAGGGCGCCTCTACCGCAGTCGCGGATATTCCATCACGATGACTTCATCGTATGAAGCTGCTGGAAGGTACTAGACAAGAACTATAGATTGCTGGGGTGAAAATGACGAGAGTGTATGGATAAAATTTATTTACAAGCGTTGATTTTGTAAGAAAATCTAAATTTAGAGGATAAATTGTTGTACTGGAAACTTCCGATAATTCGCATCCAGATAAGATGAGGTTCTTTACTTCCGTGACTAGACGAAAGGGTTCATTTGGGCCAGAGAACAAGTCCGGGACTGTAAATTCTTTGATGAATCATTTCACTTTGATTTATTGATATGAATTCTCATTTATTGAAAGGGAGCAAAAACAGAGTACAAAAAATTGAAGTGATTTTGTTCGGAAAGGAATATGCTGGGAAAAACTATCAAAGGTAATAAACAAAACTTCAAGGTGAGAAAGTTAATTCACATTATACTAATCACATTCAAGCTACTTATTCATTATCTGGGAACAAAGTATAGTGTTCATTGATACATGACTCATAATAGGATATAAAGCTTTCGGAGTCGATTTGAATTAGTCTGAGGATTTGGAACACCATCACATCCTTTGTTGTATTGTCTTCGAGTGGTCTCACTTGCTTTATAGCATATATCAATGGAACCTTTATATCATGATATCATCTAGCATATAAAATGTGATAGCTGAATGATTAAGATACTCCCTATGCTCCTGATTGTATCTCTGCCTGGCACTCACAAATCTAAAGGTACTAGATTAGGCTCCCAAATCATTTCCAAATGCCTACCCCCCCAAACAAGATACTCTTTCACCGAAATTCTCTCGAAAAGTCTAGCCCTTTATTCCTCATCTCGACAGTCCTTCCCCATAGCATGAATGTGATATCTACATCTCTCATGTTCCCAAACCATCGATGCCTTTTCCCATTCCTTGAACTCAATAGCAACGCTTTCCGGATCTACTTTCTCTTCATCTCTCCCAAACTTCATTGCTTTGAGAAAACGAGAGCGTAGAGTAGGTCGAGGTGGGAGGGGCATTGGCGAGAGAAAAGGATGTTGATTTCGAATATTGTAGTGATTGGCGAAGGGATTGTGGGGAATATGATGTGGAGAAGGTGCGCGGTGAGAGATGGGAAGGTGGTGATTGCCAGCATGAAATGGACCTCCTTGAGGAATCGAATAGAATGTTGGATTGTTATGAGGATGAGTTGGCGGTGGATGAGGGTGAAAGTGTGGGGCAGGTGCGATTCCAGTGGATAACGAAGGTGCAGCGTTGTGCATATGGTGGACGGTTGGTGGCGGGGGATGTGCATTCAGAGTAGTTGGCGGAAAATCAGAAGTAAACAGTGGATGACCAGGTTGAAAATTTGGATGCGGAGCCGTTCCATCGTTTGGAAATTGAGTATTCTGGTCATGGGGCAGAAATAGGGGGTTCAGCACTAAGGGATTATGAATTCCACGTCTGGTTCTACGGAAATAAGGGGGTGCTCTCGGACGTCGGTTAGTGGTAACGGGAATTCGTCTCTCTTCAACAGAAGGAAATAGTATGTCCTTGATTAGAGCTCGTAGCGGTGATGATTCGACTGTGTTGCTATCCACCAGCTTTCGAGTCTCCTCTGTCTTGTTGAAAAGTGGATCTTTCGCCGACTTGACAAAATCCATCGCGCACCCATTCTCTATAGGCCAAGGTTAATGCATCCATCATATAATTGGCGAATTTCGATGCTCCGATATAATCGGCGAGAAATAACAACGAAGTAACTGGAACCATTTATACTTATGGGCTTGTGTTCGAAAGTGAGTATTACTACGTGTGGTATGCTTTCCCAGACATTTAGCATTTCTAATATCCTTAGTGTAGAGCCATGCAAGGAACATTTCGAAACTTTCAGGTTGATAATCTTCTAGTGAGATGATACTTTCACGACCACATTTCCATAGACCAGAACAAAGAGGTTTGAAATATTCGGCTTGCGTGGCCAATAATCCAGCAATTGCTGTGAATTGGACTCGTTGTTTTCCAGTTCCTACGTTAATGGAGACGATCTTGTTAAAGTTTTTTTGATCATCACTACATCCGCGATTAGAAACTTATCACTTTCTCTATCAATTTGAGGAGCTTACATGTCATAGCCTCCGCTGAGGGGCGCCAGAGCGCTCTTGGTAGTTTTCGGCTTGTCAGGTGCTTGATATGTTGCAGCTAGAATTCTGGATATTCTGAGTACATTTACACGAGAAAGACCACGATGCCCAGATCTTCGAATATAAGCCTCTAGTATTTCACTCATTCCAGCTAGAATTGTGTCGTCTGTATCTGAAATTATCGCGTCAAGCTGCGACATTTCATTGGCAGGATGAGGCCAAGGTATAATACCGATATTGTGATTCGGAACCAGATTTATCCCCAGTCCATTGGTGGCCATTTTTATGATAGATGAGAACCGAGATTTATGCTTCGGTGAACCGTTGGGAAGTACAAGAATTTCGTTAAGAATATCGTTCTTGAGCTGAGAATATGAGTAAGAAATCCTTGAGATTTGTGGCTTTCTCCAAATTAAGATAGTTCTAAATAAATGGAATCAAATGGATAATCGAGAGACCTAAATAGATATTCTTCAGAGCTACGGTCGAAGAAAAAGCCAATGATACAATAGATTCTATCACAGTACAGCTAAACTTTGGAGATTCGAGCGACCGTATTTGGTGTTCAGGTAGGTGTACGTTCGAAACGTCTAAACAAGCACTGGAAACATAGCCCGCTCTTAAATTCTAGATTTACCTGCTCAATTCTCAGACTTTTGTTTGCTCGAGATCCTTCATTCTTTCAATCGCGCTAATGAGATCCCTAGAGCATGAGACTCGCCATATGATCTAATGCCAGGAATGTATTTTCTATCTAGACTCCACGTTTAGACTCCTATACTCTCAGGACCAGGCCTGAGACTAGCTTTAGTTCCATTAAAATAAGGACCTATTGAATGATTGCCTGTATCTTTGTTTGGAAATTTCTGATCTTTGAGATTAATGAATTGATGATACCACTTACAGAATATGATACGCTCAGTTGGACGTGAATTCTAAGAGTTAAACAGACTTAGAGATTCTTTCATTGATTTTAGCTTGAATGCTGATATGATAGTATTACTTGACATTTGAAACTCAGTCATCTTTTGTGTCCATTTATTCATGTGTCATAAGCGCAGCAGGAACATGAAATATGACTGTAGACACATGATGTTTCTATAGTAATGATTCTTTGTTCCTTTGTTCCATGCTTTCTCTATATCAAAGTTGCCATAGAGAGTCAGATGATGTTACAACTAAAGCTCCTAGCATATAACCTCATTACAAATAGTCTTTAGTGAGCAGTCCCACCTCCCATTAATCCACCACTCTCATACCGATAACCCAGATCTTTCATGAATTGCCACTATTAATCAACGTGATTAGCTATCGAATCATAGTCAAGCTAGCTGAAGTAAGAGTGATCAAAGATCTAAGATCCATGAGAATCTAGTTCGCTCAAAAATTCCTGTTGATAACAAGAAATAAACTATAAAACTTGCTTTTCATTCCATCTGTTCATGTTTATAATATATTGAGTAGTAATTTGTATCATCCTGATGAACATTCACATTGATTAATCTTATCTTCTACAATTGACTCTTGTCAGCAAAGTTAACTCATATTTGATAATTGAGATTCACACACAACAAATTTCGAAGGAAACTTTTTCTTTGAAATACGACTTGTTCGCGATCGATTTAGATTATAGTTATTAAACCAAATTGATTACAATTGCCCCCTAGTGATTCTAACCAGTAATTGTTATGCTACTATCGTCGGCGTTCCGAACACAAAATATATACGAAAATTCGCGTAAAATTTTCTCATTTCGAATTATTAGAATAAGAATTAAATCCTTAATATGAGTTCTTTTAATAATCCATTAATACTTAGGGATACGGTTATGATGGAGGCTTCTTCTAAAGCCTCTATTATACCAAACACTTATTCTATTGTTGTTCTAGGTATTCCAATATCTTTAAGCTCTCCCTTGCCTTCTGAAAACCCTCAATTCGAAATCTCTAGCCCTATCCTATTAATTAATCAGCCAATCAGTTCTGGAAGAAGATTTGAAGAATTCAATTTACTTAGTGACCTCTTTATTATTCAAGATATAATCAATACTATTTATATATTCAATCAGAATAAGAAACGGGGCTCTATAATACCCTTTAGTAATTAGAACAAACAATCTAGAATCCAAAACAATCTAAATATATTTAAGGAAGCTATTTTGAAAGCTAGAGATCTTATAGTGCTAGCTTCCTCTTTTTCCCAATTATGTAAAAAACAATCCAAGCTTTTAGATCTCTTAGAGATTTTTAGAGAATATATTGAAAAGGGGAAGCTTATTACAGCTTCAAATATTATCATCTTTCAAATTACTCATTTGGAAACTGCTATATGTAAAATCGAATCACAAGCAAAAGCATTAGCTAAATCTCTTCCGCCTACTACTGCTATTATCATTATATTGAAACCAATATATACTGATATTTCAAAAAAAGGAGAATGGAATTTAGTTCTTAAAGGAAAAAACATTACATTTACTAATATAGAAAAGAAATCTAACCTCATCCAAAACGAATTATCTTAATCAAGCCAGATTTTCCAAACCCTATCTCCTTTTCCCTTCTAATTATTTAAAACAAAATAAATAAAGTCTTTCAAAAGATCAGAATCAAAGGGCTAATTATTACAGCAGCAACTATATCCTTCAATAATAATATTATTATCACAACAAATGATCTCTTTATATTACAATTCTTATTAGAAAAGAAAGCGATTTGAAATAATATTATCAAATTCGAAAGAATCTAAAAGGATTAAGAATAGTATAAAGTTATTATTCACAAAATCCCAATTAAAGAATTCTCAGGCACAAAAGGAATGAATCTTATACTCAATAAAATCAAAACCTTCAATTCAGACTTTAAGTTTATAGGAATCCTCTTTTAGCTTATATCTGTTTCTAAAAGAGTCTATTAACGAGAGGGTGCTATTGTTATTGCTTTTGCTATAAAATCAAAAATAGAATTAGCTATTCAAAACAATTATATATTATTGGAAATAGTATAAAAGTAGAACAATTCTACAAATCAAACCAACTATACAATATTAGAAATATCAGGATTTGAGTATCAGAATGCCTATTGTAAAAGAAACCCTTTTTTATAAATTATATAAAAGTAAGCATATTATATCAGTATACTTGTATATAGTATATAATATCAGAGGAAAGTTCTATCAATATTTAAAAGTAAAATACTCGAATTGCTAAGAAAATCATATAGCAAATTCGAAAACATACGAAACCTATTAGGCTATTTAATAAAAATCGAATACTATTCATTAATGAATCATATTAATATTCGAATCCTTCAAATAAATTTCAATCGGAATTTACAAACTATAGAGAATATTCTATAGCTTGCAATAGAATTTAATATCAATCTTATTATGATTCAAGAATCTTGAATTATTAAAAACGGAATCGATTATTCAAATTCAAGATCTATTATACATTTCAATTTCATACAAATATTATTAAGACTTAATCCTAATTACCAGTTACATATACTATTATATATATCAAAAACTCTTCAAGCTATAATCAATCTAGCTTCCGATTCTTTAATAGATTCTGATATACAGATTTTCAATTATCAAAATAAAAACAAAACCTTTCAAATTATCAATATATATAACAAAGCTGATCAAACTAAAGAAAAAGATTTTATAATCGAAAGGTGCTTGTATAATATATTATTATATAAGAAACCATCCTTTTAGATAACTTCAATACCCATTATTTATAGTAAAATCCTTTTTCAAAGAAAAACGGAAACACTAATCAATTAACTGAATAATTTGAAAATCAGAATCTCATTTTTTTAAACAAACCCGGAATCAGCATTTTTTATCAAATTAATCTCCTTAATTCAAGTATTCTTAATCTAACATTAGTATTAGAGGGAATCTCTTCTCAAATTTACAATTAACAAACACTTTCAGATACAGAATCTGATCATGTAAGAATATTATTCGAATTAAAAGAAAAAGAAGATCTAAATACTTTTAATACTGGATTGATAACTAGATATAATATTAAGCTAATAAATTAGGAAAAGTTCGAATTAATATTCAAATCGAAATCCTTATATTCCTTTATTCTATCGAATTTAGAATTAATCCTTCCAATCAAAGAGGATTCCTTAAACCTTTTAAAAAATAAAGATAATCATTATCTAATTCTAAATCAAATAGTAAGCGAATTTACTAAAATCATTCAAAAAGCAATAGAAAGGTATATACCTAAAATTATTTCAATCAAAAAAGCTAAACCATGGTGGACATCTGAATTGAAAGATCTCTGAAAAGAGTTAAGAGAAACAAAGCAAAGAATTGAATCAGATCTGGAGAATTATAGCTCTAAGAAAGGATATCGAATCGCTAGAAACAAGTATTTTTAAATTATTAAAATAATAAAGAAAAATTATTAGAATAAGTTTTTAGAAAAAAAGGATATAAAAACAATTTTCAAAGTAATAGCCTATACTAAAGACTTTCAAGATTAAAGGATACCGGATATTACAATAGAAAGTTTTTTCGAAGGAAAATACTTTATTTTCAGATCAATTCTGTTCCTATTCCTTTTTATTACTTCAAAATCACAATAGAAAGGGTATAAACAATCCAAGCAATGGGAATGGCTTAATTTTACTCAAATTGAATTAAATAATGCCTATTCAATCAAAATTTAAGGAAAAACCCTTAGTCCAAATGGAATCACTTAAAAGATCATTATAAAGACTTACAAAGTAATCTCACAAATCTTTTTTACTCTCTTTAATAAACTTATTAATTTAGGATATTATTCGAAATATTGGAAATAAGCTACAAAAGCTATTCTGAAGAAAGCTTCCAAATCAAATTATTCTCTTCTAAAAGCATATAGAATAATTATACTTTTAAATTATCTGGGTAAAATAAGCAAAAGGATTTAGTTCAATAATTAGGATATTTAGTAGAAACAATCTATTTTCTTTATAAAAGTTAAATAAAAAGATGCCAAAAGAAATCAGTAATTGATATTGTATTTTTATTAATTATAGAAATTAAAAAAAACAAGCAAGCCAATAAAAAGATCTTAATATTATTTATAAATATAAAGAAAGCATTCGATCATGTTTCGAGAAATCAACTATTAGATATTTGTAAGAAGTTAAAATTGTCTACAAATTTGATAGTTTGGATAGTTTTATTTCTTTAATAAAAACAATTGAAACTATCTTTTAATAATCAAATCGAATCTTTCAAATTAATTTCAATTGAAATATTACAAGGTAGCCCGATT